TCGCCGTCCTGTACTGCGACCTCTTCTACCGCCCGCAAAAGTCGCCAAACCCGGCACACTTCACCGTCCGCTGCTCCCGCGAGATCCTCCCCGATGAAGTCGAAGAAGCCGGCCTGGACCTCAGTTCGAATCAGACGTATTGGAGTTTGTCTCAGAGTGGTACGATTAGGAAGGGAGGGAAGGCGAGCTTGAGATTGAAGACCCAGAAAACTGGGAGCATGAGCATGCGCCTCCCACCACGGCACGGCATAAAGACAGCTCAACTAGCTCCAGATTGTGTGCCACGGGGCTGGAATCGAGACATGCCTGGCCTGTACGAGACGAGTAAAGCCAAAGTCAGTCGCATGCTCAAGGAAGCGCTAAAGGACCTGATGGAGCTCGCGTAAACCTGTCAAGGCTCCCCAGCATCGTGGAGAGCAGACGAGCGCTAATATAACTGCAAGATTTGGTCTGCAGCGAGTTTGCGATGATGTTGATGTTAGTCCCTGGGAACCGAGCCGGAAATCGAAAACACTCGTACTTGTACTAGTGCAAAGAGAGTTGATGTTAGTATAGAAACAAGCTTCTTCTAGGCGCCTCAATTTGAGCAGACGTACCTGTAACTCTTACTGCTACTGTAATGCCTGTAAATGATGGCCCAATCTGCCCAAGGGGCGCACCTACCCGTCCATTGGGTAGGAAGAGCTCCATAGCACCACTGCTAGCATAACGATTTGATGGTGAGGCGAGCTTGAGTACATGGAGTACAGTAGGCATGCAGAGTGGAGAGAGACAGCCCGGCTCATGCAATGGCCTGGCAAGTCTGGCAGGGGCCGAGTCTGCGAACCTTTGGCGGTGCTTTTGTTCTCTCATCTCGCCAGCAGCTCTGATGAGGCTTCTCCCCCGCCGTGTTTTAGTGGCTCGGGCACGAAACAAGAAGCTCCAGGCCAAGGCTGGCTTAGCAGGTTGCCGGGGTCCCCTCCAAGCTGTCAAAACAGGACCGGCTTATTACCTCGCGCGTGGCGGGCCAGCTAGTCTGCGTTCAGCTCCTCGTCAAGAGCCCTGTACCTGTCAGCCGTGGACCACTCACACTGAACTGAATGCTGGGTTCGTTCTGGTATCACATGAGCGTCAGCTACCTACCTAGGCATGTCTTTGTTGGTGGTCAATAGGAAGTTGCTAGATAGCGAGGGAAGGTATGGGACGCACGAGAAAGAGAGAGAGAGAGAGAGAGAGAGAAAGAAAGAAAGAAAGACAGAGATAGAGGTGCAGCTAAAGGAAATGCTGAATTGGGTGGACAGAAGAGCACCAGAGCGAAAGTTTTAGGTGAGAAAGCAAGATAGATGTCAAAATCCATCAGCAGTGAAGAAAGAGAGGCTGATTTGAAAAAGGAAGGGGCAAAGCTGGAAGAAAAATATGAGCCTCAGGTTGGGAGCACTAGGAATCGTCGATGGTGGGCAGTACATCGCTGGTATGAACATGCTTGCTGCCGCGTCGAGTCTACCTGTACCAGGGACCGTCAAATTATATTTGCAGTGGCAATGATAGAAGGCCCTGTCCTCTCTTGCCGTTCATTGACTGAATCGATATCAATATTCGAGCTCGCTTGGGTACTAGTATCTCTTGCTTGGTGTTATTACCTCAAGGTAGGTACTGTAGGTAGCACTACGAAGATAAAGATCCTTGTTGCTACTGTAGCTTATACGGAGGATACAAGGCACGCCAAGACGCTACCAAAACGTCTCAATCCAAGCGATTTTTCCATATAGCTGCTTGATTTGCCAGGTATGGTCGATCCTATTTCATAGCTGAGGTACCCAACAAGAAAGAGAATGAAGTCGATGAAAAGAGAGGAGGCAGTGATAACGCGATGGCTAAGTAGGTACTACTCTCGGGGCCTAGGCTGTTGCCGCCTGGTTGTAGAAGCAGCTGCCAGATTGCAGCCGCAGCTTTTCTTCTGTCATTTTCTGTTTCTTTCTTTCTTTCTTTTTTTTAAACACAAAATGTCTCTCATTCAAACAGCCACTTCGAGTATAGCCAAGCTCTGCTTGCTCTGGGCTCAGCTCTGCCAGGATCTTTCTCCATCATCATCACATGCTTACCGCTAGAGGCCTTTCCTGATGCTACGCCAACTCATGACATCCACCCTCTCTTCTGGTGGCACGACTGCTATCCTGTCTTGCCTGTTGTCTTTTGCCAGCTGCTGTTTCAATCGTGTCTCTCTCATCCCTCCATCGAGGCATATGACGGCTAATCGACCCCTTGTATATGATACGTTACGTGCACTAGGTAGGTATTTTGTATGTTGCTCTTCTTCTCTCCCTTTATGGCACTCCATCACCCCCCATGCGCATAAAAAGAAAGTCCCTGCCTACTTTGTACATGCGAAGCACACCCAGATGATTGAATGTTGCCACCATCAGCAGCAACAGTGACTTGCCCATTCTTCACACGCGTCGTCGGCCAACTCATCTCTCCCTGGTTATGTCTCAGAGTAGCTCAGACGACATTAACCTACTACGGGATACCGAGGTCGAATCCACTCTTTAGCAATTTCACCAACTTTGTGTCACGAGGCCATCAGGGACAACCTATTTCTAATGATTGCGATCTGCGCACGGATCAAAGCCGCGAGAGCCGTGTGGAGCTCAAGAGAGAGCGAGAAACCAAGGGACAAGAGGAACAATACTAGAGCTTGCATACGCGATGCCAACCTCGAGCTCGGATTTGCCCACTGACGTCAATTTCAGGCCCAGAGCTGAATTATCAGTCTTGATTAGGCCATGCGGACTATCCGAGCAAGCTCTATGATAGCTCACAAAGGAGAAACATCACCGAAAGAGAGAAGAGAGAAGAGAGAGAAGGAGAAAGAAAGAGGGAAAGGGCCATGTTGGACAGCTTGCACCCGCCCCTCCACTCGCGGCTGTTTCATCCAATCTGGGAAATTCCCACAGAGTCGGTCTGGAACCCTGGTCTTTTCTCGATACCACATTGCATCCCCGGATGTCCCCTGTTCGCTTCGGAGCCGACTCTGTCAAGACCTTGGCAACTCAGAAGGAGGGGCTCTTATCTCGCTGTCTTTACTATTAATATTATTTCTTTTTATTTTCTGGAGACCGAAACAAGCATATGGCAACTTTTTTTTTTCCTCTCTGCAGCTGCTTTCTCTCTCAGGAGCATCCAACTTTGCTTATAACCTCCGTGACACCGCAAATCAAGCAATTGATGGAATCACATGAATCCGCCGAAAGTTCCCGCTGGGTTGTCGATCTCTCCGAAGCTCCTCAGTCTTTGAACTTCCTAATGGAGCTTCTTTCCCCTGACATATGCTTCTTTCTTTGCTGCCACAAAACGCCAAAGCATGCTATTTACAAGAGCGGTGGGACGAAAACAGAATTTGTATTTGTGGGTGTGTGGACGTGTAAGTTGCCAGGCCATCCCGTCAATCACATGCAGAGTTCGTCGTTCTGTTTTTGGTCGGCCTCTCCAAAGAGTCTTCACACGCGAGGTTCGTAATCTAGATGGAACCTACTAAGTCCAGATGCAGTACTACAGCTCCGAGGCATCCATTTCTGGCACCGAGCTTAGAATACCCATATTCTGGCCCAATCGGTCGTTTTTCTACAAGAAGCCGCGACTACATGCACATAATCGAGAGTGAGAGTCCGTGGGCGAAGCTGCTTACTACATCGAGGAGCCAGACCAGGGACCCGAAGGGTACATGTACCCAGCTCCATGGTTGTGTTGCTTCATGCATGCATGCACTGTACCTGTGCATTGCCGGTAATGCTGCTATTTGGAGAAACTGCAGCTACAAATCGTCTTGAACAACATGCGGGCTACCCGCGCGTAATATCTTTAAATCCAGTTGCGCACACCCCGGCAAGAAGGGAAGCCTTACGAGTCGTACTAGCACTTATTACTCTTGTCAGCTTGCCTTAGCAGCTTACCCAATGCCGCGGCACGTCAACGGCGATTCCGCTAATCCACATAAGCGGCTCGCCTCGAGGCGTTGCCGCTATCGATCGATACACGCTATTGCTGTAGGAACTATCTTTAAATATTCTCTTGGTATATAGGTAGCTGCCTATCCAGGCAAACGGTACTTGACGGAGTTGGGCCATAACGTCCTGCATCTCTTGTTGCATCTCGCATAGAGAAGAGCATTCAAAGGTGGAGCCTACCAGCGTCGGCTCTGGCACCTAATCTTTGTCGAATTATTTTCTTCTTCTCTCCCTTTGGTAATTATAGAGTCGCATAGTCTACGACATGGAGATTTTTATGTGTCCTCATTCGACTGTAGAACATTGACCGACTATCTATAGAGAAAATCTGTTGTATGCCTAGGTATGCAACGGTTACGACCGGAAAGGATACATGAATACCTTGTTCTTATTAAGAAAAGGAAATCCGAGTTAAATTGTGGAATTTAGTATGAACAAATGGCTATTACCAGGCAGCTCCAGGTGATAGATAAATAGATGAACCGCACGACCAGTCACCATTACTCTTCGCATTCTTCAAACGCGTCAACGGTCAGATAATCAGCACGACAATGCTTAAATCCTTCCGTCTCGACATGAAGGAGCCACATCAGGCAGTATCTCATCAGTCGTTCAAAAACAGAGAGATAAGGGAGCACAAGAAATTGATCATACAAACTGGCAAAACAGCCATAATCCCCTCTCTATTAGATTGCTCGCAGGCTATGATGATCCAACTTCCCTTCCCTAGGCCCGGCAGACAGAAGCAGCAAACATGGTTGGCTATCTCCCTCCCGCCCAGCCATATTCTTCAGATCATATGTATCCGGTCTCACTTTCCATACGCCCAACCAACCAAGCCGAAAATAAAAACATATATCTAAACACACATGTATATGCTGAAAACCTCAGCCTTCTTCGTGAAAAACCAAACTAATGCGCTCAAGGCACTCGATGCCAGATAAACCAAAGCAGACAGACGCCAAGACACCGCGCTCGCACATCGCGTAATGTGGGTAGCATGCCTAAATACTTAACCATTGCCCATCCTTTCCTGTTCCTGGATGATACAATTCCTTCGCACCGGTGAATAAATAAAAAGAGAAAGAATAAAAGAAAGCTTCAAAGCTTCAAAGTGGAAAAAAAGGTGAGGAGGAGGAGGAGGAGGAGAAAAAGAAGGGAAGGAGAAGGAGGAGAGAAAAAAGTGGGATAGGGAAAAAAAGATAGTAGCAATCATAAAGATGTATGATCAACTTTGCCTGGCCCCAGCAGCAACTCAAAGAAGAAAATCCAGCGCTTGTTTCTTTGTCCTTAGAAGCCATGGTCGTCATGGTCAGGCGGTTGGTGGTTGTTGAGTGCTCCTTTGACAACTCCCAAGGCTATGCCTATGATCAACGCGCCGCAGAAGAAGAACACGACAGCCATGACAATGATGCATACTTTGAGGCGTCTTTGCTTGCGTCTACGCTCCATGGTCGCGGCGTCTAGCTTATAGGGATCTTCAACAGTATGGCTTGCCTGGGTCAACGCCGAAGTTGACGCCCCGGGTGCCAGAGGCGCCAAGTGAGCTGGCGACGTCGACGTCGGTATGGTTTGCAAGGGCATCATCTCGATTCCTCCAGCTTGGGCGTGTGAATTCGTAGTCTGAGCAGCAGTAGTTGTTGCATCGTTTTGTGGATACGAGTATGCGCTTGGGGCTTGACTCGGGTCATATGGAGGAGGAGGGCTGCTGGGAATGTCATAGGGTTGCCAAGCTCCCTGTTGCTGAGGCTGGATTTGATGCTGAGACTGATATCCAGGCTGGTTCCCTGCATGAGGACCTAGAGGCGTAAATCCGGGCATGGGATGCGAAGGGCCAGTCGGCAACCCCCTGCCGGCATAGTTTGATTGGAGCTGGAGACGGAATGGCGAGTCATCTGGATAGGCAGCATCTGGAATCGAGTTTGAGGGATGATATTGCTGCCGATGGATTTCGTTATCGTATGAAGCCATGGCCCGAGCCGAGTCGTGCGATGCACAAGGCAGTCGAGGCAGAGATATGATTCAGCCTAGCAACGTGTGTTCTTCCCTCTGAATAGGGAGAACAAGCCCGAAACCGAAATCGCAAGCAGAACAGAAAATAGAAGTCAAATCAGGCAAGCAAGCAAGCCTTGGAGGTCTCCACCAACACTACCCACACGACACTGCGGGTTTTGATCAGTATACAGGTAAGCGGTAGCTGCCGGGGGCTCTGAATGCAAAGCGTACATATCAGGTATGCAGGCCAGACGGTCTACTATTCGTACCGTTAATTAATCGCAGTAGTGGGT